CCCTTGAAGCTCGAAATCACGACCAGTTGGGGACATCGAAACTGTTCTCTGACTCGCAATACCAACTTTCTCGGCAATGGATCGGTGCCAGAATTCAAACTGGTGAGTTCAGTGACTAATAAAGTCAGCTGCGTTTCACCTTCAGGATGCAAAACTGACTGTCTGGGTTTTGCGCCAGTAGCATAATGCAAGGGTCGCCTCCTACCTCTAACCGCTTAGAACACGTGGCTCACAGCCCCAGATACGGAAGCAGACTGAAAGTCCGCGCGCGGGCTCAACGAACTGCCAGAGAGGAGATGGACCCAATTTAGGACCCCAGGCGTGCGAACTCGATTGCCAACCGTTTGAAAAAATTGTTCCATGACATCAGAAATCTAGAAGACAGAGTTGACATAACAGTCCTTATTTTGAGTGAGAACACACAGCTGTTAGTGAGCGTTGCCAGGAGTGCGTTCGACTCGCGTGAGCTATTAAAACGTGCAGACCATTGGCGAGTTAGTACGATCGATAATGCGACACCACGTGAAGAACAAGTCAGGCAAAACGGCCACGCTAAAACGGACTCAGATGTCAGCGCCGCCCAGTGAAGGCGAGGGGTTAAAGGTCAGTATATGGCTGGCGAAACTTGCATTATTTGGAGTGTACTGTGTACGGCTAATAAACATCAACTTAAACAAACACGAGTAAACGCAAGTTTAGGAAATGAATAATAAGTGGAGTAGCCACAGTAGGTGGGCTAACTCATGAAATGTTAACCGAAATTCCGAAATGCGTTTTCGTTTCGAAAAGATTAATTAAGAAGGGTTGTAAAACTAGTCGGACTGCAACATAATTCCATAATAATTCAGTTACCTCAGGATGCCGGCTCTCGAATAAACTTTCTTGGCGCTGCATGCAAAAGCCACACTGTGTAAAAAATGACTACTTAAATGGCATGAATTTTTCTCATTTATTTTTGATGCCCCTAAAAGCCCAATTATATTTCATGGGAAGCATGCATAAAAATCTTCACTCTTTCGCTCATTCGATAGAATATTACGTCTGCTTCTAATTTTATGCTCAAAGAAGGGACATAATTCGAATCTAACAAACTTTCTAATTGTGGGACTTTTAAATGCCGCGAAATAGCCGTTCATAAATCGTCATGTCTCTGCATTCGCCAATGTGACTTGTAAAGTTCACAATATGGAACAATTGACAGGGTAAATGACGTTTTATGTGTCCGCAGGTTGTAGTCGACCATTGGATTGCATGAGCAACCAGTGGAAGATGGCCTCCCGTCTGTTTCCAACGCTTATGTTTAGTGCATGCGTCCCGTGGCTACGGAGACGTTTTCCACGTAGAGCAGAACACGGAAGATTTCAGGTCCGTGTTTTTGCTCACCGTCGGTCTTCGCATGTCCTTGGTACAAGAATTTATTTATGAAGACACGTGCATATCCACTGGTTAGGAAGAGGATAACAATCGGGAGAGGGCCTCCAAAAAAATACTACCAGCCAAAGCGCCCTGTCCTACGGGAAATGTGGTAATAGGGGTTTTATGGGCAGGGCATATGGATGCGTAAATAAGAACCAAGGTAATTATGGATAGTTGGCAAATTTGCTTTTCGAGCCGACTTAGAAAGCACATTTCCAACAGACGTTCATGGGCTAGATAAACACTCGAGCACTGGGAGTGGGACGTTTGTTCACGATGCCTTGATACAAAGCTGCCTATTTCTTCGCTTGCAGAAAGGCAGTCCAGGGCGCGCATAAACGGGAATTTTAAGGGACACTAATGTCGTCTTTCAAGGGCCTTTGCCGTCCTCGATCAGATTTAGACTAGCATCAGGTTGCGTTCGACCCGCAGTTTGAATCCGGGTTGAGTTAATCACTGAACGGACGCTCCAACATTCGAGTCACAGTATCATGGTCCATCGAATCCGATCAGGAAATTTAGGAGTGGAGTTATTCAATTCGAAGCAATATGTTCACAGAATGAATTTAAAGCAGGAATAGACAGCAGAATTTATTGGAACCAGTACATTTCGCGACGGCTTATCAACTGCAGTCTGTCGTTGCATAACACAGAAAACAAATGAGAAATATATAGAGGTTTTAACTTTCACAGAGAAAATAAATATAAAATAGCAAGGTCATCGTATACTGCACGTAGACTAATCAATAAAATAGTAACTTCAAAACGCAACATAGGCAAGAAAATGGGGAAGTTAACACGCCGAGGGATTTCGTAAATCAAAGGGATCAGATCTACCAGGGCAAGCTGAGGTTGACTAAGTGGTCTAACTGTTTACATAGGTCGGGTTTCTCCCGCCGTATGTAGCTAGTCTCCAGGTAGCGCAGTAACCGAGTTGTTCGTGCTCCAACTAATTCTGGAAAAGATGTTTTGTGGTTAACCGAATGACCGCTATCAAGGAGGTGTTTTGTAATAGAAGACCGTGGAATCTTATTCTCCTGCTTTAGAAGCCATTTAGGCAGGTGCTCAACTGCCCTGGCTTACGGTTGCCTTTGCGTTCGCCCAATGTACTTGCAGCCAGAAGTGCATGTGAATTCGTAAACATAATTTGACATGGCGTGCAATGGCAGGGCATCCTTCGCCCCTGCTACTTGGATAGCCTTAGTAGGGCTGCAGAATATGAGTTCAGCTGAGTTGTATGTTCTTCCAATGGCGCATCTCAATCGTTGCTTGATGGTATTTAAGATGCTGTCGCCTTTAAAGGGTAAGGATATTACAACGGGCTTTTTCGGAACTGATTGCTTCGTCAATTTTGGCCGTAAAGTGTTGCTATACTTTTCGATGAATCGTGTTGGATATCCCCGTTTAAGCAGGGCTGTCTTGAGGCAAGAAATCTAATGGATATCTTGCCATTGCACGCCACGTCAAATTATGTTTACGAATTTACATGCACTTGTTCACTGCTCCGCTGTGTGAGGGTTATTCACCCCTTCCCCACCCTTCAAGCGGTTCCAGACGCACTGACCTTACGACGCTCTGACACCCGCGCACCTCCAGGCAGTCATTAGAGACACCATTCGTCGGGTTGTGCTGCAACACACACTAACCGGATCTGGTGCAGTTGCGGACAAAGCAACTACGTCGGAGAAACTGGGAGATTACTCCGTACGCGAATTGCCGAGCACGCAGCAGCAGTGAGGCGGGGAGACGCGAGCTCTCAGGTGGCGGCACACTCTACGGGACCCGACCATATTTTCAAATTTCAAGAGGCCAAAATCCTCGCAAGGCGCGACAAACGCGTGAGCCGCGGGCTGCTCGAGTCATGGTTCTCAGGCTCGCGATCCATCAACAGGCGCAATGACCTCCCGGTACCGTATTCCGTGCTGAGATTTTCCCTGGATAGGGGAATTAGTCACGTGGGAGGACGCGGGCGAGCAATCATCCCAGTGACAGTGAGCCAATTTGCCGAGCAATTGTCACACCAGCATCCAACACGGATGACGAAATCACGGCCATTAACGACTCGGACGCGAACTGACAAGCCGCCATCGCATCAATTACGACCCCAACGGTGATTGCGAGAGCTGTTAATTACAGTGCGCATATGGTCCCACGGCAGCCACGTGCTACGAATACTACATTCCTTGTGTCACCATTATCCTTATCTGCGACTGTCTCTGATGATGGGTTCGAGTGAGAATCCGAAACGGCAAGCCAATAAATTTCTAGTTCCAGTGATCGTCTTCTTCTATCACCATCAACTAATTCTGGCTCAAATCACCGTCCCTGCGAGCATCGTGTCGTTGAACACACGGCAAATATCGCCGTTCGTGACGATTGAACTTTCACAACAGGGACTGGCCCATAACTCGGTTCACTGAGAAAAAATACTATCTACTGACTCTCCGCAGATAATCTTAACACACAATGTAAATCAATAATGTCAAAAGAGTGACTTCCCCCCCTATTCTCCACATCGCAGGCGCAGGATCTATTTATGGCATTTGCCAGGACAGCTCTTAACATGTCTGGCTGCATTGGTGAATTTCATCCCCAGGTTTTCCCTTAAAAATGCCGGATAGCGCACGACAGCAGAGGAAAACAGTTGGCTGCTGTTGGATCGGGCGAACGTGGAGGTTTCTTGTAGTCTGACTTCCGCCAACGTATTCGCTCTTTGAGGACCCGCCTTGGCAGCCGCCTTATGTTTTTAACAGCGTCGGGAGGTTGTCCCATTCCTGACCTGTCCTCTGCCGTCGAATGCATACTGCCCGATATCAGCTGGCATTTCCCTCTACGTCTTGGAAAGGACAAGGTTCGGTTATGCTGGGAATTCTTTTTTTCGGGGGTACAGCTTTTGTCATTGATTGACTCTCAGAATCTCACTGCCTCGAAATCTGGATGAACATGGGCTTCATCTCTCATGGCTCACATTTAAGTCAGTCAGTTTAAGTCAGTTTATTAAGGGAATGAGGCTTTCGCCCCTGAGCTCCCTATTCATATCGAAAAACAGAAATAGAATCGATAATTACATCAGCAAATGCGGAAATTCAAAAGTTAGCGGTAAGTGTGAGCCAGGTGCAAACTGCTGCCGCTAAAACAATCGTGCTTATATGTACAGTAGTTTTACATCGAATGAGCGTCTAGTCTTAACTTAAGGGATCCAGCAGTCCCTGAAAGAACCACCGAAGCAGGGAGTCCGTTCAATGCCCCAATGACCCTGTGAGAGAAGGCGTTCCGTTGGACGTCCGAATGAGCCAGCATCCTCTGCAGTTTGAAGAGATGACCACGCAGACTATCAGTCCCGGCAAATCCGAAGAATTCATCAAAGTCTAGGGCGCACTCACGGCCTGTGACAATCCTGTAGGTTTGAATGAGATCGTTGCGCAGTTGCCTGTAATTGAGAGGAAACAGATTTAGTTCGGTCAGCCTGGTTTCGTAAGGCAGATGATTAATCTGTTTGACCATATTCGTAGCCCTTGCCTGCACTCGTTCCAGTCGTTGATAATCTTTCTTCAACCACGGTCGCCAGGCCTGGACTGCATACTCTAAGTGAGACCGGACGAATTCCCATAGGTTTTTCCGAACAGCTGTTTATCGATCTGCACAAATCCTCGCCTCAGCGCAAATAACACCCCTATTGCACTTTTGACAGCTCTTTTACACTGTGATGATGGTTTCAAAGATGAGGTCATTGGGATGCCGAGATCTTTCTGTTCCACAACATTTGAAAGTGGCTGCCCACCCAGGACGTATCGAAAGGAATCGTCCTCCTTACTGGTCTTTTTGGTGCGGAGTCTCAGGACCACACATTTGTCCACATTAAAATTGAGGAGCCAGCGAGCTGACCAACTGTTTAGGCGGTTGAGACTGTCTTGAAGCGCGTACGTGTCTGCATAAGATCTGATGGGTCTCCACAGCTTAACATCGTCAGCAAACATGATGGCGCTGCATCCCAGGTCGTCGACGCAGTCGTTAATGTAAACCAGGAATAGCAATGGCCCTAGGACGGAGTCCTGGGGTACACCACTTAGAACGGGGTTAGGAGTTGACCTTGAGGCCTCAACGCACACGGTTTGCGATCTCCCGGTAAGAAAATCTGTTACCCATGTCAGCAGCCTTCCTCTTAGCCAAATTTCAGAAAGTTTGTAGATTAGGCGTTTGTGTGGGACGCTGTCGAACGCCTTTTTGAAGTCCGTGGAGACGGCACTGACGCTACCATCCTCGTCCATTGCTCGAGTCCACTGCTCCGTCGAGAGCAGTCGAGAACACGAGCGGTTCTGTCCGAAGCCGTGCTGCAGGTCTGAGAGTAAATGGCCCTGCTCCAGGAACTTCATTGTTGCTTTCTTAACTATGGCCTCCATTATTTTGGAGCAGATGTAGGTGAGACTAACAGGCCGGTAATTGTTAGCATTAGTGCGAGCCCCACCCTTCTATATCGGAAAGATTGATCAAAGTTATAAATATACAAAATCACGCACCGTTATTTACGACGGGTAGACGCTAATTTTCCAAAACTGTAGTCATGACCTGCGAGGCTTGATAATCTAGGGTTTGAAAAGTCAAGTTGGCAAACACGTGTTTTCGGTAATTCTTCGTCAGGCCAGTACAAGTACATGAAGGAGTGAAAATGTATAAAATTAAAAGTGTTTATAGGTATCTCAAGGGTTATTAAGTCATTAGCACATATAAACACAGTTGATTTGGTACATTTTCATTCCTTCATGTAACTGTATTGGTCCGACGAAGAATTACCGAAAACACGTGCTTGCCAACTTGACTTTTCAAGTGTAACATGAAAATATTTTCGGAATCTAGGGTTTGCCGACACGAAATGACGACCCAGCTAGCACAATCAGCACATAGGCAAACGACGCATACGGTTGGGACACACGACGCCTTTATTTGGACTATTCGGCGACTTAGAAAAAATCTGCAATCGTTCGCTGCACTATGCCTAACACTGGAGCGCAAATGCAGGCTCCCTGGCAATAATATCGACACTATCGGCACCGAGTCCATATGACTGATATACTACTAGGCCGCATATATTTCTTAGTACTACTTATTACTATGATCAGCGGTGCCACAGGTAGTATTAACGATAGTATATTCGTTCAAATAGGATTATTGGCAATGATGGCATATGTGATAAGAGACGCAGCAGCAATTGTAGTGGTAACAATAGTGGTAGCAGTAGGTATAAAAGTTGCAGTCCCAAAAATGTTATTATTCTCAACAGTCGTGATAAGGACAAGGCAGAATGGATTGTAATAGCAATTTCACCAACGTAAGCGGCGAAGTTCAGCGCCTGCCCTGTAAAGAGACTACAGTAGGAGTGACTTGTACACGAATTACTGTAGGAATTTCCTAGCAATCTTAAGACACCAGGCACCTGAGCCCCAGCTAGCAATTTATTTTCCAATCATATCCTACATTACTGTTTTTTTTTTAAATAATTCAAAGCCGCCGTCATAGAGAGACAGCTCCATTTTCCCAGAGTCAGCAATGTCGTAGGAGACAAGCTGAAATCGCCAATGGCCAAAGAATCCTTTAAATCTGTGGAGGGTATGAACCAGATCAAAATAAATCACCCCCGGACAGAAGATGTTTTGAACCTAATTGGACACTCGGGGAGCGCACTGGCGAACACTGCTCACAACGCCAGGGTCGGTGGGTCAGATGGTCGAGCAATCATCACACCAACACCCGACACTCGTGGAGAAATTGCAGCAACTAAGGACGCGAATGTCGGCCATCAAAAAGTCATCACACCAAGTGCACCAATCGCCGATGAAGGGTGGGGGGGGGGTCATGAATTTTCATAGGCATACGGTAGCATGACGACTTCATCCTATAAATGTTTCAGCTCCCTGTGCATGAACCGCCCGTGTCGGCTATTGTCTCTGATGATGTGGTTCGAGCAGGAATCAGAAACGTCAGGTAAATAAAGCTCTTGTTTCAGCGATCGTGTCTCCTTCTTCTTCAAGAAGGTGCTTTGCTCATTCGCACGTTCTTCTGCATCACGTCTGGGTGTAAGGACAATGGCAAAAAACCATGCGCATGTGTTCCGAAATTCCGCAAGTTCTATTTAGTCACTACGATCCACCCTCCTTGTCAGAGTGGCCAATATCAAGTTTCTGTGATTGTCCAGACTATTTTCACTTTAATCTTCCTAGTACAATGTACGACTCAGTAGTATAGTCCAAAAACGGGCTACGCGACAGGTACGCTGGATCGGATCTGATCCTGGCAGGGGTTATCGAGAATGCGCAGCACAACAAATGCCAACATCCAGGGTGTGGTGCCGGGCCCAGTCGCCGACTCACGTCGTGTCGTCCCCCCTTCCCCCCATTGCTGCCGTTAGTTGAAATCCTTGGCAAGAGCACGTGGTGAAGCAGGGGGATGTGGTGGTACGCCTAGATGCGGATTTACGCCTCACTCTCCCTCCTCGGTCTTCTTAACTATGCCATGACACCGGACTCAGGTGGGGAAGGAGAGGGTACTATAGATGATGTGCAAGTCTGCTATCACGCGCAAGTCCAGTGCATGACCTCACTCTACTGCAGAGCTCACAGTGGACATCGTCGGTCACGAGGGTTGAACTGTCGGTAGAGTCCACGGGGGGCGGAAATAGGCTACGGTCCCGAAAACGTTTCCGGAGGCCATGACGATCGATTCGCCCGCCATCCCTGCCACAGTCTTTCGCACGACGGTTTGTTTCCTTTCTACTTCTGATAATGAGACGTTGAAATGAAGCAAATGCAGTAGGCAATGGTAAGTTTAAGTGCTACCGGAATGTTACTTTTGTCTGATGGTGCAACAACTCCATTGCATGGTAGATCAATCGAAGAGATTTTTGGCATGCGACGTCGAGTCCAAAGCCGTACAGGAAAGAGAAAGACGGGAGATTACATAGGCAGAAAAATTTCATATTACTCAAGTAGTCATTTTTTATCGGATGTGGTTTTTTCCAGTTATATTTCACGGAAAACATGCAAAAAATATTCATTCTTTTGCTCATTTGGTAGATAATTACATCTTCTAATTGTACACTCGAAGGAAGTGTATACTTCGGTTTTAAAAAAACTTTTCCAATTCCCGAATAATTTTGAACCTGCTCTACCGTTACATTTGCATTCAGGGTTTCAAAACTACAAGCCGTATATTTTCCGCGTACAGAAAACCACACATTTCTCTACGGTATTAAGAGGAGACCATATGGGGTTCATAAAATTAAGCAATGCATTTGAGCCACATTGTTAAATTTACAAGCCACATTGGTAAATGCAGAGACATGACGTTTTATGAGCGGCCATTTCGTGGTATTTAAAAGTCTCGCATGTAGAAACTTTTTTAAAATCGAATTTTGTCTCTCTTTCGAGTAAAAAAATTGAAGGAAGGCGTAATTTTCTACCGAATGAGTGAAAGAATGAATATTTTTGTTCATGCTTTCCATGAAATATAACTAGACTTTCAGATGCATCGAAAATCAATGAGAACAGTGCATGCTACCTAAGTAGCCATTTTTTGCAGAGTATAGTTTTTGCTTGTAGCCATAAGGAAGCTCATTCGACCGCCGGCTCGTTCGGTAGCTTATTACGTCTTCTAATTTTGTACTCGAAGGAAGGGTTTACTTCGGTTTTAAAAAACTTTTCCAATTCCCTAATAATTTTGAAGCCGAGCTGCAGTTACGTTTGCACTCAGGGTTTCCAAACTACAAACTGTATATTTCCCGCGTACGGAAAACCATACGTTTCTCTACGGTATTAAGTGGACACCACATGGGGTTCATAAAATTCAGTAGTGGATTTGAGCCATGTTGTTAACTTTACGAGCCACATTGGTAAATGCAGAGACATGACGTTTCATGAACGACCATTTTATGGTATTAGAAAATTTCACAATTGGAAACTTTTTAAAACCGAATTGTACCCTTCTTTTGAGTATAAAATTGGAAGACGACGTAATTTTCTACCGAATGAACGAAAGGATGAATATTTTTATGCATGGTTCTCATGCAATATAATTGTTTTCAGGGCATCGAAAATCAGTGAGAAAATGCATGCTATTTATGTAGTCACTTTTTACAGAGTATAGCTTTTGCATGCTGCCGAAAAGAAGTTCCTTCGAAAGCTTGATGATTAGTTCTCCAACTCTACTTAAGTAACCTTTTCGAAAGGAAAACGCATTTCGGACTTTCGGTTGACATTTCATGAGTTAGTCCACCTACTGTACCTACGCGCGTGCTTAGTGAAGCACTTATTATGAAATTAAAACTCAGTAATGAGACAAAAGGATGTAGATCACCCGAGTGAGAACGTTTTGACCGCTTTTATGACGGCTTTATAACGCTGTAAGGCGTGTTATCTAACTGAAGTGAGTGAAAGCCAACAATGGCGGTTCCTTTCCGTGTTCGACATGCGAAAATCGCAGTCCAGCTGGATAAAAGTAGTAAGAACGGCGCGAAGGACAATCAAGAAGAAGCTGTCGTAACCTTGGGAGCCCTGCCTTACACGACAAATTCGCCACGGTTACAGCGTAAGTCACAGCATGGGAAATGTGTTCGCTGAGGCTAATTCACTGTAGTGCCGGGGAAGTTACAAATGTACTCGCAGAAAGTAGTGAAGCTAAAAAGCGGTGCATTATGCGACCACCAACGAAAAGCCTTGACAGTTTACTGAATTCTTAAAAGAGTAACCGAAAATTGCTACAGGGCTCAAAATCATCGATGAGTATCTAAACTCCGATTATACCCGAAACTCTGGAAGAAATCCGCAAGGTACGTGAAAAGGAGCCCTCCTCCTAATCTAGGGGGCTTCGTGCAAGTTTCCAGGAAGATTAAGGTAAGGCAAGTCACAGTGCATGACCTCACCCTGCTGCAGAGCACACGGTGGACATCGCCCGCCACGAGGGTTAAACTGTCGGTAGAGTCCACGGGGGGCGGAAATAGGCTACGGTCCCGAAAACGTTTCCGGGGCCCATGACGACCGATTTGTCCACTATCCCTGCTATACGTCTTTCGCACGACGGTTTGTTTCCTTTCTACTTAGGATAATGAGACGTTGGAATGAAACAAATGCAGTTAGGCAAAGGTAAGTTTAAGTGCTACCGGAATGTTACTTTTGTCTGATGGTGCAACAACTCCATTACATGGTAGATCAACCAAAGAGTCTTTGGGCTTGAGAAGTCGAGTCCAAAGGAGTACAGCAAAGAGGAGGACGGGGATAAAATAGGCAGGAACTAACTGATGGCACCTATGCGGGTGCTTTATAAAGCACTTGTTATGAAATTAAAACTCTTAATGCATCAAAAGGAAGTAGATCACCCGAGTGAG